GTTCCTTCTCTGTCATGTCTAGCTCATAGAAGAGAAGTTTTGCCCATTGTGCCATCATTGCTTCATTTAGCCCACTTCCTGATGTGAATCTCCAGTATATGTGCTCACTTGGATGCCCTGTAACCCTCTTTGTTCTCATTTTCAAAATATCAGTGTGGCCATATAAATTCCTGGTGTCTCCCTTAGCTCCCTACACCGTCCTACATATCACCTCCACACCTGTGATTGCACGTATACTATGTTATAGAGAAAGAAAGGGAACACATCTCTCTTGTTTATTGTATGCTAGTGCTCATCGCAAAACATGGCACTATGTTGGCAAATGATATGTGTTTTTTGTTGCAGAGTTTGAGAAGAGGAGGAACTGGAGGCGGCACAAATGGAAACAACCTTGTTTGACTTGTTCTGCACACCCAACCTATGCAACAGGATTTGCCCCCATCCTTTGTGAGGTGAGTGTCATACAGTACAGGACAACATTCAAAGAGTGGGGACATGTATCTAAATCTATTTATTTCAAAGTTCATAACAGTGTTGTGAGAAGAAGACACTGATTTGGAGATAAAAGGTGAGGAAAACACACCAAATAAGACTCACATGGAACAGATTACATTGTGTAGACTTCCTTATTCATATTACACTGTCAGTCTCTTCACTGGAGACTGATGTGGAGAACTTCCCTCACAGTACAGATTTTGTCATTTAATATTCTTCATTTTTCTTTGAATTTTAGTTGAAGCAAATCTTGTGCATGAAGTCATGAATAGACAGAGAATATATACATGTCAATGACTATTTCAATAATTAAAATGTAACCAAGGTCCTGATCAAGATAGAAAAATCTGAAAGCCTCAGAAGATCCTCTCATTTACATCCTGTACGTCCACCCCCACCACAGCCTCACTCTCACTTCCTCCTCAGTGTCATGTCCCGTCTACTGTCCTGATCTCTATCACTGTATCACAGTTTAGTCTGATCTTAACCTTCACATAATGTAAATGGTAAGTAGATTCTGTGACAACCTCCTTTCCTCGTGTTCTTTCATGAAGAGCCATCCATTCTGTTGATGCAGCAGTAGGATGTTCTCCTTGTTAGTGATTTAGTTTCCATAAGATGAACACTTGTGGGAACTTAAGATGAATAATATGAATACTAATGGAAACTTAAGGAGTTCAGGCCATGAACTCCTTGTTGCAAAATTCAGACTTAAATTGAAGAAAGTAGGGAAAACTAGCTGACCATTCAGGTATGACCTAAATCAAACCCCTTATATTATATAGCAGAAGTGAGAAATCTATTATAGGGATTAGACTTGATAGAGCACCTGAAGAACTATGGACAGATGTTCGTGACATTGTACAGGATGCAGTGATCAAGACCATCCCCAGGAAAAAAGAAATGCACAATGACAAAATGTTTGTCTGAGGAAGCCTTTCAAACAGCTATGAAAAGAAGAGAAGCTAAAGGCAAAGGAGAAAAGGAAAGATATTCCCATTTGAATGCAGAGTTCCAAAGAATAGCANAAAAACATCTACTTCTGCTTTATTGACTATGCCAAAGTCTTTGACTGTGTGGATCACAACAAACTGTGGAAAATTCTTCAAGAGATGGGAATACCACACCACCTGACCTGCTTCCTGAGAAATCTGTATGCATGTCAAGAAGCAACAGTTAGAACTGAACATGGAACAACAGACTGGTTCCAAATTGGGAAAGGAGTACATCAAGGCTGTGTATTGTCACCCTGCTTATTTAACTTTCACGCAGAGTACATCATGCAAAATGCCAGACTGGATGAAGCAAAAGCTGGAATCAAGATTGCTGGGAGAAATATCAATAACCTTAGATATGCAGATGACACCACCCTTCTGGCAGAAAGTGAAGAGGAGCTAAAAAGCTTCTTGATGAAAATGAAAGAGGAGAGTGAAAAAGTTGGCTTAAAACTCAACATTCAAAAAACTAAGATCATGGCATCTGGTCCCATCACTTCATGACAAATAGATGGGGAAAAAATGGAAATAATGACAGACTTCACTTTTGGGGGGCTCCAAAATCACTGCAGATGGTGACTGCAGCCATGAAATTAAAAGACACTTGCTTCTTGGAAGAAAAGCTATGACTAACCTAGACAGCATACTAAAAAGCAGAGACATTACTTTGCTGACAAAGGTCTGTCTAGTCAAAGCTATGGTTTTTCCAATAGTCATGTATGGATGTGAGAGTTGGCCTATAAAGAAAGCTGAGTGCCAAAGAACTGATGCTTTTGAACTGTGGTGTTGGAGAAGACTCTTGAGAGTCCCTTGGACTGCAAGAAGACCCAACCAGTCAATCCTAAAGGAAATCAATCCTCGATATACATTGGAAAGACTGATGCTGAAGCTGAAGTTCCAACACTGACCACCTGATGGGAAGAGCCAGCTCATTGAAAAAGACCTTGACTCTGGAAATGATTGAACGCAGCAGGAGAAGGGGATGACAGAAGATAAGATGGTTGGATGACATCACTGACTCGATGGACATGAGTTTGAGTAAACTCTGGAGTTAGTGATGGACAGGGAAGCCTGGCCTGCTGCAGTTCATGGGGTCTCAAATAGTTGGACATGACTGATTGACTGAACTGAGGGCATACCCTAGTATACGCCTTTTGCATTTAGTTGCATTGTGCTTTTTCACCTTTTCAGTATTCACTCAGACAGAGACTTAGGTTTCTGAATCACAGACAAATTGCAAGGAAAAGGCAGAGATAATGTTCAAGAGAGGCCTTGCTTGCAATTGTTCTGATCTGTGGTGTTTCTTCTGTTTCAATATCTAAGTGTAGCTCTCTCTGGGTTTAGTAGATCATTAAAGTGGACCTCTGTGCCTTAGATGCTTTCTGGGTAAAATGTAGACCACCCAGTGGAAAGCTTTATTCCATTTCTGATGGTGCAAGTGTGCTTTCCCATATCCTTACACTTTCTCTTGGTCCTAAGAAATCAAAAATGAAATTTCAGTGTCCCAGAATTGTTAGACTTTAGGAAACTGTGCTCCTAGATCAAAGTGACACAGATGTGTCTTTCCAGCTTCAATCACTATTTGAGAAAAGAGAAATTCTTCCCTGTGTTGGGATTGAGATGCAAGAGGTCAACAGAATAACAAAACCCTCCCTTTGATCTGAAATCCATAATTTTGGCTTTGTATAAAGATACTACAGTGGAGAGATTTTGAGAATATACACCCAACATAATTCTGGAATCCTTCCAAATTGGAGAGACTTGAGCCTCCAAGTTATAATCACAGACTTATAGAAAATAAAAATGTGACACCCAAGTTGCATTGTGGCCTACGTGAGAGTTCTGATTTTATGCTTTTTGTCTCATCAAATCTCTGTATCCACAGGAACAAGTCAAGTCCTTTATATGTTACACATACATGACAAGGGGCTCCCCTGATAGCTCAGTTGGTAAAGAATCCACCTGCAATGCAGGAGAACCCAGTTTGATTCCTGGGTCGGGAAGCTCCACTGGAGAATGGATGGGCTACCCACTCCAGTATGCTTGGGCTTCCCTTGAGGCTCTGCTGGTAAAGAATCGGCCTGCAATGTGGGAGACCTGGGTTAAATCCCTGGGTTGCGAAGATCCCCCGGAGAAGGGAATGGCTACCCACTCCAGTATTCTGGACTGGAGAATTTCATTGACTGTATAGTCCATGGGGTTGTGAAGAGTTTGGACATGACTGAGTGACTTTCACTTTCACTTTTCATGCACAAGTGTTTGCTAAACTCAAAATTGAATAGAACTCTTAATATAATGTCAACTGTTTTTGGCAGCATTAGAGCATATTTGCTTTTTTAAACTATACCATGTTGTCTTGTATATGAATGTCTATTGCAGTGTACCCTCAACTGCAATGAGAATTATTACTTTTGAGTCTGTTATTTTTAGAATGAAAGATTATTTTTCAGACTTGTTGTGTCTTAAATTGCTATTAACTTTTCCTATATGGATTAGCCATGACACTTGAAATACAGCTTTTTCCCATTGAATCATACATTTTGTTATTTAAATTTTTTTATTGGAGTATAGTTGATTTACAGTGTTATATTATTTTCTGCTTCACAGCAGAGTGAATCAGTTATACATGCAGATATATCCAATCATTTTAGATTCTCTACCCATCTAGATCATTACAGATTACTGAGTAGAGTTCCCTGTGGTATAGAGTAAGTCCTTATTAGTTACCTGGTTTATATTTTGCAGTATGTATATGGGGCTTCCCTGGTAGCTCAGCTGGTAAAGAATTCTCCTGCAATGCAAGAGGCCCCAGTTCAATTCCTGGGTTGGGAAGACTCCCCCACTCCAGCATTCTTACATGGAGAATCTCCATGGACAGAGGAGCCTGGGTGGCTACAGTCCACGGGGTTGTCTAGTTGGACACAACTGACAACTAAGTACAGCACAGCACAGTGTGTATATGAACTTATTTACAAAACAGAAATTGAGTCGCAGACGTAAAAACCAGTCTTATGGTTACTGGGGGAAAGAAGGGGAAGGATAAATTGAGAGATTGGGAGTATAGCTTTTAATTTGTAGTGATTTTATTAAATGCATACACATTTTGAAGTTGCTTATACTTCAATTTTGATGTCTTAAAATACTAAAATTATATATGCTAATTGTTGAAAATATGAAAAGGGAAAATTCAAAGAGAAAGTAATAGTCACTTAAATCCCGCCATGAAAAAAGTCACTATTATCATTTCAATGATTGTATTTTCAAAGATTGCTTCCCAGGTGGCACTAGTGGTAAAGAACCAGCCTGCCAATGCAGGAGATGTAAGAGATGTGGGTTCGATCCCTGGGTCAGGAAGGTCCCTGGAGAAAGAAATGGCAACCTGCTCCAGTATTCTTGCCTGGAAAAGTCCATGGACAGAGGAGCCTGGTGGGTTACCGTTGATGGGATCGCAAAGAGTCAGTCACGACTGAGCTCACACACACAAGATATTCAAGGATTACATAAGCTCTCTTTTGAAGGAGATTTATGATGTCAAGTGTATTATGTTAAGCATATACGTATTGGGTATCTATTTCTGGATTTCTTTCAATGTCCATTTGCATATGATATAGTGTTCTGATTTTTGTAAATTTTTTCAGAGTTCACCATATGCTGTTCCATATATCAACCAGTCAGATCCTAATTCCATGGTGTTTCTTTGTTTCTGAATCATCTTGTCTATTAATAATTTATTGATAAATTCAAAACTTTTTAAACTACTTCCCCCCAAATTGAACTGTTCATGAACTTACATGTTCCAACAAAGTATATGGTAAAGTGCAAATTAATATAATGATTGTAAATGAGATACATTTTCCAGTATATTTTCTTGCTAGTTTGTGAATAAAAAGGAAAATTCATATTTGTTCTTCATATTTTTCTTTTCTTCACCAATAACTCCTTAAAACTTTGTCACTTTTATGTAGAAATCTTTTTCACTTGCTTTTCTTGAGAATTTTTTGCTGGAAAAACAATACAGAAACAACCAGTCAACCAACCAATAAGTAAATGAAAAACAACCTTTAAAAAAGAAAATGTGAAAATAGGTTTGTGTGCCCTCCATACATAAATACAAATTGATCCTCTTCATCATCTTTTTTAATTCAATAAAATCTGTGGGATTGACACTCATGCTGGAATAGGCTCTGCTGCCTGTGGAGATCCTAGAAAGTTACTACCATCATTTGGTCTCTTTAGAGGTCTGGGCAGTAATGAAAGAAAGGCAAGAGGTGAGCTGAAAATCCTAAGGGAGCTCCCCATTTGTTATGGGTTGAATCTTGTCTCTCCTAAAATTCACGTGTTCAAGTTTTAACTCTTAGTACCTCAAATGTAAGACTGCCATATTTGGAAACAGGGCAGTTGCAGATAAAATGAATTAAGATGAGGTCATATTGGGCTAGGGTGGGCCCCTAATCCAATAATACTGGTGTCTTTACACAAAGGGAACATCAGGACAGAGAGGTATGCAGGGAGATGCCATGTGAAGATTGGAGCGATGCTGCCACAAGCAAAGGAGCTATTGAAATGTAGGAGAGACCTGGAACAGACCCTTCCCTAGAGCCTATAGCGGGGACGTGGCCCTGCCAACAACTACAGCTCAGACTTCCAGACTATACAACTGTGAGACAATAAATTTCTGTTGTTTAAGTAACTTGGTTTGAGTCACTTCATTATGGAAGCTGTAGGTCAGTAATGGGTTTCCTAGGTGGGGCAGTGGTAAAGAATCCACCTGCCAATGCCGAAGACAAAAGAATTTGGAGTTCATTCCCTGGGTCAGGAAGATCCCCTGGAGTAGGAATGGCAACCCATCACAGTATTCCTGTGTGAAAAATTCCATGGACAGAGGAGTCTGGTGGGCTACAGTCCATGAGGTTGCAAAGAGTCAGACATGACTGAATGACCGAGCATTTTTCTTATTTACAAATATTTTTTTTTACCAGTTTCTTATTTTCCTTATCCTCGATATTTCCATTATTTATGGCAGCAAAACGGTCTAGTCTTAAAGGCACCAATATAAGATTTATCTCTCTAATATCTTTTCAAAGAGAGGCTTTAATTTTTACAGATCTAAAGATTATGAAACATGATCAGAAATGTATGTCTCTCATGAGGGCAGGTAAGATGTGCCCTAAGATATTAGTAGAGCTAATATCTTCTCTTCAGCACTAAAACTACCAAAGAGAACAGGGCAGAAGGGATCTCTGCAGTCTAGATTGAAACTCACAGTGAACAGAAATGACCTTGCCCCTTTGAAGGCAATGGCCCAAGATGGGAGTATCCCTGGCAAGGTTCAGCCTCCCCAGTGATCTGAGGGACCCTTGCAGTGTATTGACTTTGTCACCCACAGATCCAAAGCACACAGTCCCTCCCAGGGGTTGGTTAGAAGGTGTACTCACTTATTTTCCACATCCTGAATGGTGTCAGGCAGAGGCAGATTTTTAGTTTCAGGTAGGAGAAGGAGAACAGGAGCAGCAATGAGGGGACACACTCCATAGACGATCCAGGGCAGAGTGGGTAGATACACCGCTAGGGCCATCAGCAGGGGAGCCAGAGCTGCCCCACACCTATTAGCCAACAAATCTAATCCTGAAGCTTTTGCTCTGAAGGGTAAATGACAATATATAATAATCCAGTTAAATTCTGGGCTTAATTTGTGATCTATTATTTTGACTTTATTTTGAACCAGAAAGCTCCACAAGTATTAAATCATGAGCTTGATGAAAAAGCCTTGCTTCTGTGATTTGCTCTGTGATTTGCTAGATGTTTTTGTCAAGGTCAGCACGAATTAGTCCTTAAACAGAGTGTTACATATTGTGACTAGTCTGACAAATCTTCTAAAAAGTTAAGAGAGGATGTATTGAAGTACTGCTTAGCATGGTACATGGCACAAAGCCAGCACTTGCAGTAATTTTGGTTATAATTATTTTTAAGGTACTATTACAAATACTGATAATTGCTTTACAATTAACAGATCTTACGTTTATTCCCTTGAATAAGCACCAATTAGCTGGGAAATTTCTATTATGGTCCTTGGCATAGTATTCATAAGCTCGTACCTGACAATAGTGGGGAGGAGTTCAGTTTGGTGGACTGAAAAAGAGGTCTGAGACGCAGCAACACAGCTGATTCCCACACTTGCCAAAATCACGCGCAGGGTCTGCATGTCTGGAAATGAGAAGGTCAGCGGGATCAAAAAATCTGGGCTGAAGGAATCAACATCCACAAAATGTAGTCAGTAAAAAAACTATAAGCTGTTTGTATTTTTGAAATATATTGTAGCTTTATCTCTGGGCTTTCTATCCTGTTCCAGTGATTTATATTTCTGTTTTGTGCCTGTACCATACTGTGTTGTTTACTATAGCTTTGTAGTGTAGTCTTAATTCAGGGATCCTGATTCCTCGAACTCCATTTTTCTTACTCCAGGTTGCTTTGGCTATTGGGAGTTCTTTGCAGTTCCATACAAAATTTTTTGTTCTAGTTCTTTGAAAATGCCGTTGGTAATTTAATGGGAATTATATTGATTCTGTAGATTGCTTTGGGTAGGCTAGAAAGTCCAGACAGAAACTCATGAACCTATGGTTGACTAAACTTTGACAAAGGAGGGAAGAAAATACAATGGAGAAAAGACAATCTCTTCAATATGTGGTGCTGGGAAACCTGGACAGCTACATGTAAAAGAATGGAATGTGAACATTTCCTAACCCCATTAAAAATAAACCCAAAATGGATAAAAGTCCTAACTGTAAGGCCAGACACTATAAAACTCTGAGAGGAAAACATAGGCAGAACACTCTTTGACGTAAATGGCAACAAGATTCCCTTGCTGCACCACCTAGAGTAATGAAAATAAAAATGAAGACAAACAAATGGGACCTAATTAAACTTAAAAGCTTTTGCACAGCAAAGGAAACCACAGACAAGATGAAAAGACAACTTTCAGAATCTGAGAAAATAATTGCAAATGAAGCAACTGACAAGGAATTAATCTCCAAAATATACAAGCAGCTCAATATAAAAGAAACCCAAACAACCCAATAAAAAATGAGTGGAAGACCTAAATAGATATTTCTCCAAAGAAGACATAAACATAGAGATGGCTAACAAACACACGAAAAGATGCTCAACATTGCTCTTTATTAGATAAATGCAAATCAAAAGTACAATGAAGTATCACCTCACACCAGTCAGAATGGCCATCAACCAAAAACATAAGCAATAAATGCTGGAAGGCATGTGGAGAAAAGGAAATCCTCTTGCACTGTTGGTGGGAATATAAATTGATACAACCACTACAGAGAACTGTATGGAGGTCCCTTAAAAACTAAAAATAGAACTACCATGTGCATGCACACTCAGTTGCTTCAGTCGTGTCTGACTCTTTGCAACCCTATGGACCTTAGTCCACCAGGCTCCTCTGTCCATGGGATTTCCTGGCAAGAATACTGGAGTGGGTTGCCATGTCCTCCTCTGAGGGATCTTCCTGACCCAGGGATCAAACCAGGGTCTCCTGCATTGCAGCTGAACTACCAGGTTAGCCCCATCATATCTGGTACTGAGCCAAAACAGGGGGAGTGACCATACTATGTTTTCACCTGGGATATAATTGCAAGATCTCACCCCACCATCCTTGTTATTAAAAATGTGAATGGCAACTGAACAAGTCCTGTCCTAGAGGAACTGTCAAGAATACTAGTACCAGTTTACAGACAACTTTCACTATGTGATGATGATAAATAGATGTCTGAAGTGCCACTTGCTGATGTCTGGTTCTTTTTCTAAAATCTTATTAGAATTTCTCATAAACTCTTTGATTGGTTTGGGTAGGACTTAGCCTTTAATTGGGCTTCCCTGGTGCCTCAGTTGGTAAAGAATCCACCCACAATACAGGAGAGCCTTGTTCGATCCCTGGATCGGGAAAATCCCCTGGAGAAGGAAATGGCAACCCACTCCAGTATTTTTGACTGGAAAATTCCATGGGTAGAGGACAGGGGAGCCTTATGGGCCACAACATGGGTCTGACTTACAAGAGTCAGACATGATTTAACAACTAAACCACCATCTGCTCCATAGACAGAGTATGGCTGTCTCTGAAGGCAAGAGTTTCAGCCCCAGGGTTTGGGGTCAGGGTCTCTGTTAGGACACTGTACTGGGAGAAACACATTCATAACATGTTTCCGTCTGATCTACCTTAAAAGGCACCGAGGTGTGGGGGTGGTAAGTTTTTTTTTTTTTTTTCTTTCCCTTTAATTGAGACCATTCTTTACTGCTGGCTCTAGACAGTGTGACCCAATACAATCAGTGGTGGTTTGAAAAAGACACTTCCTTTCCCCAAATTCCAATCTTCTCTCACCTTGAGGCACAAATATGTTGATCAAAATGGAAAGTCCCACGAGGAACATGAAAAACATCTGGGTTGGTCGACGGCCCACTTTGTTCAGTGGGTAAAGTGCAAGACATCGGACTGAGATAGTGAGAACGCCAAAGATTACCTGGAACAGGAAAATATTGCTTCCAAAGTGCTGTAGATTGATGATAATGCCAAAAAAGGATATTGCACCTGCAAATCTGTAGTGAACAAAAGAAGACCCAAGCCATAAGATTAGAGCCCATTGCTGTCATTGATGATTATGTTGACCCAGGCAGCCAATGGTCAAGGTTAAAGAATAAAGGCCCAGTCTGATTTCTACAATACTTCATTTTAAGGTGATAAAGGTACAATAAAAAATTACGTGTCTGTATATAAAAGTGAAACTCCCTCTGTCGTTTTTTTTTCTGAGTCCCTAAGCATAGAATTGACAATGACAGGAATACATAATCTGGCCCAGTCCACCAAAGTGAATGATTTAGAGAAATTGAATACAGAATGATTGAAACTTATAAATTGTAGAAGGATTTCTTTTTGTGAGTTGTCTGTATAAATGTACATATGTATGTGTGAATTCTGTGAGTCCTCCCTCTCATCCCCCAACACCAGTACTGGGAAGAATTCCCTTTTTCTCAACTATGATTGAAGTTGCAAAGAGACTACCAGTGTCTCCTTGACCTGGGAGCAGTGTCCTGGGGTCTAACAGAATTCTGGGAAATTTAAACTTAGTATCTGATTTCTTAGCACCAAGAGAAAATGGAAGAATTCAGAAAGCAAATGTGCACCAACTGTACCATCAGAAATGTAATGAAATATTGCCACTGGGGATCTACATCTTACACAGAAAGCATCTAGACTTGAATCCACTTTATTTTTTTTTATTAGTTGGAGGCTAATTACTTTATAATATTGTAGTGGTTTTTGTCATACATTGACATGAATCAGCCATGGATATACATGTATTCCCCATTGAGTCCACTTTAAAGATCTACTACAACCAGAGAGAGCTACACTTAGAACTTAGAACAGAAAAACACCACAGAACACAGCAATTTTAAGCAAGGTCTTTCTTGGTCATTATCTATACTTTTTGCTTCCATTCTGATTATGCAGGATTCCGGAACATAGATCTGTGTTTCCTAGTGAGTAAAGAAATGTTGAAACAGCACAATGCATTTAAATGCAGACGTCTACTAGGATATGTCTGGAAAGAAATAAATTGTTCAGCTTAGTAGTTACTTCTTTTTTTTATTTTTAGCAGATTTAATGTCAGATATTATTGACTTACAATAAAGGCACATTTTTAAATTGTACAGTTTGGAAAGTTTTGACTTATGGATAGCCTGAAAAACGATCACCAAATCTTAGGATTGGCAGTGGGTATATATTTTCCAGTGGCTTACGTGTGTGTAAGTCTTCAAAAATTCAGAACTGTATTTAAGGTTTCTCCTCCTGACTCTATCAAAGCTAGTAGTTACATCTCCTCGAGAAATAATAAAGAAGATTTACTACAGAAGCCCTTGTGCTAGTACACAAACTGTATCCAAAATGGAAACAAATAAAGTCCACCAAGTTTGAAGTACATACAGACATTGCAGTGCATTCATGTAACGGAAACTATAACACTGGGGAGAACAGTTTACTGGTACAAGCAACAGAATGGGTGAATCTTCATGAATGAGCCTGAAGAAAGAAGACCTGTCACAGAACCCTTCTGTCATTTATTATGTGAAGGTTAAGATCAGGCAACACTCATGCGTAGTGATGGAGATAGGAACAGCGCACAGTAGGGCAGCGAGGAGGAGATGAGAGTGGGGTAATGGTGGAGGTGGTGGTGGTTATATGGGTTACATGAGCAGAACTCCTGGGGAATTAGGATTGTTCTACCTTGCTTTGTATGCTGGTTACATTATTAGACATTGAAATATTCATTGATCTGTATTTATTTGTGATCTCTTCACATTACAGTATGCCAGACTTGCTTCAATTAAAATTCAAAGAATAAATGAAGAAAATTAAGTGCCAAAATCTGTACTGTGAAGGAAGTTCTCAACCTCAGTCTCCAGTGAAGAGACTGACAGTGTGATATGACTGAACCATCATCATAAAATCAGTTCCACATGAGTCTTACTTGGCCTGTTGTCCTCATCTTTTAAATGCAAATATGTGTATTACCATATGTGAAACAGATCACCCGTCCAGGTTCCATGCAGGAGACAGGTACTCAGGGCTGGTGCACTGGGATGACCCTGAGGGATGGATGGGGAGGGAGATGGGAGGGGTGTTCAGGATGCGGAACACGTGTACACCCATGGCTGATTCGTGTCAATATATGGCAAAAACCACTACAATATTGTAAAGTAATTAGCCTCCAATTAGAATAAATAAGTCAATTAAAAAATGCAAACCTGCCCTTCCTCTCACGATACTGTTATAACATTTGAAATAAATAGATTCATGTTTCTTCTCACATGCACTGTGTGTAGCCCACCTCACAAAGAACAGGAGATACGTCCTTTTTCGCAGGTTGGGTGTGCGGAACAAGTCAAACATAGTCGTTTTAGTCTGTGCTGTCTCCAGCTCCTCCTGCATGGTCGCTCTCAAACCCTTCAACAACAACAAACACATATCATTTGCTAACATAGTACCAGGAATTGTGATGTGTGCTGGCACACAAGAGGATAAGAGACATGTGTTCTCTTTCTTTCTAGTGTATCATATTATACATACAATCACATGTGAACATGAAATGAAGGAAGATGTAGGGAGTTAAGGGAGACTCCAGGAAATTAAATGTTAAAATGCTATTTTGAAGAAGAGACCATAGATGGAGGTACAGTGACTCAAGAGTAGAAAAGTTTTAGAATCAGAGGAAGTGAGCTAAAGGATACTCCTATATGTATCCCTGAATCCCCACCACTGTTCACCTGAATCTATCACAACGTTGTTAATGAGCAATAGTCCAACACAAAATAAAAAAGTTTAAAAAAGAAAGAAGTAGCTGCACAGTGCTCAAAGTTTCTTTTCTACTAGAAGCCCATGAAAGACTAGCGAATTTCCATTCTCAACTAGCTGTCCTTGTTAGAAAAGCAGCTTGTCTATATCAAGAAGGAGAAGGCAGATATCAGTTTATGATTTCCCTTCAACCAAGTAATGATCTTCCCTTCCCTTTCTCATTCACCTCCAAGTTCAGGGTTTCTGCAACGTTCTTCATTCCATTTCTGTGTGCAACTATTTTAAGTTCCTTTAAGCCCTCCTCTGGTTTATTGGTGATAATCAGCCATCGAGAAGATTCCGCCAGCCACCTGATGAAAGATGAGCACGCAAGTGCAGTCAGTTGTGCTCAGTCACTCAGTCCTGTCCGACTCCTTGAGACCCCAAGGATTGTAGCCTACCAGGCTCCTCTGTTCATGGGATTTTCCCGGTAAGAAAACTGGAGTGGATTGCCATTTCCTTCTCTAGGGGATCTTCCCGCCCCAGGAATTGAACCCACACCTCTTGCATCATCTCCTGCATTGGCAGGCAGAATCTTTATCACTAGCACCAGATGGGAGGCCATTGCTTATTTGTCACATGTCAATTGATAATAGTTGCATTTTGCTTTCCATCTAAATCTACCACTTCTCTTGTTGGATCAGTTAGTTAGTGTTAGCTGCTCAGTCGTATGACTCTTTGTGACCCCACTGACTGTAGCTCGCCAGGCTCCTCTGTCCATGGAATTATCCAGGCAAGAATACTGGAGTGGGTTGCTATTCCCTTCTCCAGGTGATCTTCCTGACCCAGGGATTGAATCCAGGTCTCCTACATTGTAGGCAGATTCTTTACCATCTGAGCCACCAGGGAATATGGGAAATTCCCGATCTATTATACAAATACTAGGAGAATATGAGGCCAACCACTCCATGCCAGTGCACTTGAAAGTTGTACTACTAGTAAGGAACACAGACTTTGGGGTCAAATTGCCTCTCTGCTTACTCACCAGAAGGATTTACAAGAAGCTTGACAAGCTTAATCTTGAGAGTCCCTCACATGATAATTTCCTTCCACTGTGGCGTGGGACAAACAACTTTTTGCACATGATATATATTTACAGTATCTATTCCTTTAAAAAAGAAGCCCCCAAAATGTCAGCTTAAAGCCTAACAATGACTACAATTACTCCTCCTCCTACTAGTTATGTTGATAACTAATTATCCAATTCCTAACCAATTAATGACTAATTACTTCTTTACAGCTGCCTCAGTTTTCTCATTAGTAACACGGGTACAGTAGTGCTAGCTTCCTTGTAGTGTTACAAATACAGAATGACTTAATAGATGAGTCTGACGTGGATTATATTGTCTTCTCTCTCTGAACTCATCTCGCTCTGTAAAACCTGTAGTCATCTCTCTGTGTTCTCCTAAATCTGATTTTCCCTAGATTGGTTTTAGTGTGGGAATGAAGTTATCCATTAATAATTATTTGTTGAAGTTATTTAAGGGAAGAAGGAGTGCTGAATTCATAATGTAAATCATCTAATCTGCATGCAAATTTAACTAGTGGAAAATCTTGTTGCTATTTTGTGAAACAGCTCTGTGAATAAATTTGCTGCATCTTTTTCATCCAATTCCATCTGCAACAGAGCAAATCACTGAAAGTTTTTCTGTGACCTGACTCATTCCAAAGCCAAAATAGAATTAAAGGTATTTCTTTCTTTTTTTTAAATAAAAAATTGAGTCTGTATTTTATATTAAGGAAAATAATATTGGAATAGCTCTATGACCTTTATATTGGGAAAGAGTTAGGAACCAGATGGCAGAAAATACCTAGCAGAAAGGTTATTTTTACTCCATGTTGTGTTTCTCAAATTTAAAATTGCTCAGAATGAACAGGTGAGAGACATGGATTTCAGGTCTAAACAATAAGTATGTGTCAGGGAACAAGAAAATCAGTATATCCCAATTCAATGTGCATTTTATCCCAGATTTCCTTAAGAAAGAGAGAGCACTTCATACCTTGAGGAGAGAAAGAAGACAAAGAAAGGTACAGACACCACTAGCTGCAGGGTGCGCCACTCTCGAAAGACAAAAGCCAGTCCTCCCAGGATCATCTGTCCAATACTAAGGGCACAGTATACCAATGTTACTACCATGCCTTTCGATTGGGATCTTGTCCACTCTATAACTGAAAGATATCAAGACAGTGTTATCATGTCAAATAAGTGTCAAATTTCAAGCTCAAATTCAAGGCTAAGAAGATGGATTCGATAAAAATTGTTGGCTTACTTAGAACACAGTTGTTTGCTATTACAACTGCAATGGAGCAGCCCGACAAGAAGCGTAGTAAGCAATAAATGAAGATGTTGGGAGCGAAGGTTGTACAGGTCCCAGAGATGGCAAGTTGGAGTAAACACCACCTGAGAATCAGCTTTCGCCCAAACCTACAAAACAGACAGTCAGCTTAGGTGATGTGAGTAATGATAATTTATGGTAACAAATTAAGAAAACAAAAACATACTCTGAAATTTCAACAAGAGAATCATGTGCCTGAAAACTTGAGTAAACAAAAGCTAAATCAACAATGCAAATCTCCATAAAGTAACAATCTTTGACTATATGCAAACAATACAAATACTTCATCATACAACCACCAGATGACTCTGTCAGATGACTCTGACACTGAAAGAAACTGTTCATCCGTGTTTTTATTTCTGCTTTGCAAATAGGTTTATCTCTACCATTTTTCTAGATTCCACATATATGTGTTAATTTATGATATTTGTTTTTCTCTTGCTGACTTTCTTCCCTGGTCTTCCAGTGGCTAGGACTCCATGCTTTCACTGCTGAGGGTGTGGGTTCTGTTCCTGATCCGGGAGCTAAAATCCTGCAAGCCATGTGGCATGGCCAAAAATAAAAATAAAACTAACTTCTCACAGAAGAAACCATGGTGTTGGAAATTGTAACATTTCTGTAAGCAGTCGTGTATTAGCATATGTGTTTAACCTGGTATATAGTCTCTCGAGTGTCTGAAACATAAGAGAGCTAAAAGTGTACTTGGGTCTCTAGGACCACAGAGGCAAGGCTTAACTGATGCAAAAGATCAGTGGAATAATGCATGAAAGTTGTTGAGGGGTTAGGTAAGAGTCAATCTTTGTTGAATCTGATTTTATTGGCCTAAAGCAATATACTTTTCTAGAACAGAATATAAGAGCACCATAATTCAGCCAGAGGCTGTTATATAAATATCTCAGAGGAAAGAATTACCTAAGATGGAGAATGAAGGGAAAAGAAGGTGCAAGAAAATAAGGAAAAGTGAATTCTCTGTATCATTGGGCATCAAGAAAAGAGGGCTTTAAGATACATGCATCCCAATGTTCATTGCAACTCTATTTACAAGAGCCAGGGCATGAAAGCAATCTAACTGTTCGCTGATGAAGGAATGGATAAAGGAAGATGAAGTACAGTGGAATATACTTCAGCCATAAAATAGAATGAAATGATGGCATTTGCAACAACATGGATGGATCTACAGATTGAAATACTGAATAAAATGTCAGACAGAGGAGAAGAAATGTCATATGACATTCCTTATATGCAGACTCTAAAAAGATATCATAGAAATGAACTTATTTACAAATCAGAAACAGACTCACAGACTTAAAGAACAAACTTATAGTTGTCAGGGAGGAAGGGATAGTTTGGGCATACCAAATGATGAATCTCAAAAGATAAAAAAGTCTTTTGACATAATACAACACCCTTTCGTGATTAAAAAAAAAATACTCAGTTAGGTGGTATAGAAGGAATATAACTCAACACAATAAATGTGATATAGACAACACTTCAGAGAACATCATACTCAGCAGACAGTTTGAAAGATTTTCCTTTAAGTTCAGGGAAGAAAAAGTGCCCACTCACACCAGTTCTATCAACACAATTCTGTAAGTGCTAGTTATAGATATTAGGAAAGATAAAGAAGAAAAATATAACCATACTGCAAAAGAAGAATTTTATTTTCTTTGCTACAGATAATATGAACTTGTATATACTAATAGAAAATCCTAAAGATTCAACCAAACAATTTGCTAGAACCAATCTATAAATTCAGTAACCTGCAAGATACAAAAATCAACATATGAAGTCAAATGCATTTCTATACACCAGTAATATAATGTCTGAGAAATTTAAAAGGTAGCAATTCCACTTACTATAGCATCAAAATTGTAAAATAAGTATCAGTTTCATGAAAGAGATGAAATACATAGACACTACAGCAAGACTTTGACGAAAGAACTTGAAGAAGACACAAATAAATGGAAAGATAACCCATGTACATGAATTGGAAGAATTAGTATTGTTTAAATGTCTATGCTACCCAAAGCCATCTATAGATTCAATGCAATCTCTATCAAAATTCCAATGGTAATCTTCCCCACTATCAACATCAAGGGTATATGAGAAATTTCTGTATTTTTTGTTTAATTTTGCTATGAACCTAAAACTACTCTAAGAAATAAAGCTTACTAAATAAAAAGTCTTGGGGTTTGAGTTCTGACTCTGCAGTTTACTAATTAAAATGCCTCGGGCTAATTAACTTATTAGACATTGTAAACTGCTGGTACAAGTGGTATTTACTTCCCAGGCTTGCCAAAAGAATGAAAATGAAAATGGAAAAAGTTCCAATGGCATTTTTCACAGAAATAGCAAAAGCTATTCTAAAATTTACATGAAATCATACATGTCCCCAAATAGCCAAAGCAATTATGACAAAGAAGATATCAGCTCAGAAGCATCACATTTTTTATTTCAAACTACACTATACAGCTACAGTAATAAAAAGATCGTGGTACTGGCATAAAGATGGACACATAATAATGCTCTTATCATGATTCCAGAAACTAATTCTTCAGATATCACGTTTGATAAAGGAGCCAGTAATATTCTTTTCAATAATGATGTTGAGAAACTGGGTAATCACATGCAGAAGGATGAACTTTGATCCCTATTCATACCATTCAAAAAATCATTTAAGATGGATTAATGACTTAAACATTACCTTGAAACAGTAAACTCCTGGAAGAAAGCATGAGGAAAAAGCTCTTTGACTCTGGAATTAACAACAGTATTTTGGATACAATGTCCATCCAAATGGTGTGAGGCTCTATCTCATTGTTGTTTTGATTTTTCTAGCAAAGTAATGCTCAAAATTCTCCAAGCTAGGTTTCAACAGTACATGAACTGTGAACTTCCAGATGTTCAAGCTGGACTTAGCAGAGGAAGAGGAACCAGAGATCAAATTGCCAACATCCATTGGATCATAGAAAAAGCAAGAGAATTCCAGAAAAACATCTACTTCTGCTTTATTGATTATGTCAACCCTTTGACTGTGTGGATCACTAGAAACTGTGGAAAATTCTTAAAGAGATGGGAAACCAGGCCACTTGACTTGCCTACTGAGAAATCTGTATGCAGGTCAAGAAGCAACAGTTAGAACCAGACATGGAACAAAGGACTGGTTCCAAATTGGGAAAGGAGTGCGTCAAGGCTGTATACTGTCACCCTGCTTATTTAGCTTACATGCAGAGTACATCATACAAAATGCCAGACTGGATGAAGCACAAGCTGGAATCAAGATTGGCGGGAGAAATATAAATAACCTCAGATACTCAGGTGACATCAACCTTATGGTAGAAAGCAAAGATGAACTAAAGAGCTTCTTGATGAAAGTGAAAGAGGAGAGTGAAAAAGCTGGCTTAAAACTCAACATTCATTTTTAACTGACAGTCACATCGCTTCATGGCAAGTAGGTGGGGAAACAATAAAAACAGTGACGGACTTTATTTTCTTAAAATCACTGCAGATGGTGACTGCAGCCATGAAATTAAAAGATGCTTGCTCCTTGGAAGAAAAGCTATGACCAACCTAGACAGCTTATTAGAAAGCAGAGACATTATTTTGCCGACAAAGGTCCATTTAGTGAGTACATCATGAGAAATGTTGGGCTGGAAGAAGCACAAGCTGGAATCAAGATTACTGGGAGAAATATCAATAACCTCAGATATGCAGATGACACCACCCTTATGGCAGAAATGAAGAGGAACTAAAAAGACTCTTGATGAAAGTGAAAGAGGAGAGTGAAAAAGTTGGCTTAAAGCTCAACATTCAGAAAACTAAGATCATGGCATCTAGTCCCCTCACCTCATGGGAAATAGATGGGGAGACAGTGGAAACAGTGTCAGACTTTATTTTTTTGGGCTCCAAAATCACTGCAGATGGTGATTGCAGCCATGAAATTAAAAGACGCTTACTCCTTGGAAGGAAAGTTATGACCAACCTAGATAGCATATTAAAAAGCAGAGACATTACTTTGCCAACAAAGGTCCGTCTAGTCAAGGCTATGGTTTTTCCAGTGGTCATGTATGGATGTGAGAGTTGGACTATGAACAAAGCTAAGCACTGAAAAATTGATGCTTTTGAACTGTTATGTTGAAGGAGACTCTTGAGAGTCACTTGGGCTGCAAGGAGATCCAATCAGTACATCCTAAAGGAGATCAGTCCTGGGTGTTCATTGGAAGGACTGATGCTGAAGTTGAAACTCCAGTACTTTGGCCACCTCATGTGAAGAGTTGACTCACTGGAAAAGACCCTTATGCTGGGAGGGATGGGGGCAGGGGGAGAAGGGGACAACAGAGGGTGAGATGGCTGGATGGCATCACCGACTTGATTGATATGAGTTTGAGTAAACTCTGGGAGCTGGTGATGGACAGGGAGGCCTGGCGTGCTGCGATTCATGAGGTTGCAAAGAGTCGGACACGACTGAGCGACTGAACTGAACTGAACTGAACTGAACTGAACTGATGGTTCTTCCAGTAGTCATCTATGGACATGAGAGTTGGACTATAAAGAAAGCTGAGTGCAGAAGAATTGATGCTTTTGAACTGTGGTGTTGGAGAAGACTCTTGAGAGTCCCTTGGACTGCAAGGAGATCAAACCAGTTGATCCTAAAGGTAATCAGTCCTGAATATTCATTGGAAGGACTGATGCTGAAGCTGAAACTCCAAAACTTTGGCCACCTGCTGCAAAGAACCGACTCATTGGAAAAGACTCTGATGCTGGGAAAGATTGAAGGCAGGAGAAGGGGACAACAGAGGATGAGATGGTTTGATGGCATCACTGACTCGATGGACAAGAGTTTGAGCAAGCTCCGGGAGTTGGTGATGGAGAGGGAAGCCTGGTGTGCTGCAGTCCACTGGGTCACAAAGAGTTGGACACAACTGAGTGACTGAACTGAATCAAACTGATGATCAGTGATGTTAAGTATGTCTTCATATACCTGTGGACTACCTCTTTGTCTTTTTTTGAAGAACTATCCTGTGGACTACCTCTTTGTCTTTTTTTTTGAAGAACTATCTATTGAGCTCCTTTGCCTAAATTTAGCAACAGGTTATTTATGTTTTTTTTTTCTATTGGTTGTAGTAATTCCATGTACATTTTGGATATTAACACTTTATCTGATTCATGGCTTTCAAATATTTTTCTCTCATTCTACGTATTTCCTTTTTATTTTGTCAATCATTTCTTTTGCTATGCAGCAGACTTGTTTTGACATAGTCTCCCTTACCTATTTGTGCTTTTGATACCAGTGCTCATAAACTTTTTACCTATGTCAGTTTAAAATCCTTAGCTTAGCTACAATGTTATCTCTTCACCTAATTTTCCACTCTCAACTCTTATCATAACTCACACAGACACACAACCCAGACATCTATGACTCCATGTCCATCTAAACTCTCAATCAGCATTTTATTAAGAATAGTCCTAAAAGGCTCAGTCAGTAGGCTGATCCAAATGAGCACTCTGATCCAGAAATCTTTGACTAATTACACTGAGGTGATACTGTCAGAGTCCAGCTCTAAGATTAAATGATATTAGGCTGACAAATGACAAGGGATACTTACTCTAAGCCTCCCATTTCCCCTATAGGAGACTTGAATGTGCCGCTGCCATGTTTGTCCTATTGCTTTAAGAATGTACTTTAAGAATGATCACTGTCAGGCATAGGATAACCCAAACTTCTCACACAACACATTGTGACAGATGAGGTCTATGAATTAGTTAATTGCCTTGTATGGTGGCAAATATTACCTGTAAGTAGGCTCTTTCTTTCTTTCTTCTTTCTTTTTCTTTCTTTCTTTCTTAACATAATCACACAGCCGGATTATAGACACAATTATTTCTACTCCAACTTCAGTACCATCCCAGAAAGCACAGAAGTTTCATAGAGCACTAACTACAGTAGGGTAACCATGATATGGGCTTCCTAGGTGGCTCCGTGGTAAAGAATCTGCCTGCCAATGTAGGAACGCAGAAAACATGGTTGATCCCCGGGTCGGGAAGTTCTCCTGGAGGAGCAAATGGCAACCAAGTCCAGTATTCTTGCCTAGAAAATCCTGTGGACAGAGGAGCCTGGAGGATACAGTCCATAGGGTCGTAAAGAGTCAGACACCCTGAGTGACTGAACACACACACATACAAGACCGTGACATGAGGACCAAGGTAGGAACCTGCAAGCGTTTGGCTCACTGATCTGTGAGGGACACACAGACTTCATGGCAAAGGGCTACAACTCTGTTTCTTCAAACAGGCTGAACCACCTATCTTGAAAACACCTTCTCTTATCTCATTGGTAACTCCTTCTCATCTTTTTGAAGTCTCTCTAATTTTATGGTAACTTGCCTCTAAAAATTGCTCCAAAATACCCCCTGCCCTTAATCTTATGGAAAGGTTATTTCTGTGTTAAAACAGAGAGATCTATGGCAACAAATCACATTCATCACAATGAGTCTAATTCTGAATTTCCATCCATAGCTCCCTGGAAACCAAGGCAACCCACAACAGCATAAATTGTATCCTGGAACTAAAGAAACATTTTCTTATGAAATAAGTAATCATAAACTGTGAACACACCACAGAGGAGGGGCAGCAGTGATGTGGAGATACTCACCTGTCTGAGAGATGGCCATAGATGAGGCCCCCAGCCAGTGTTCCAACCATGACTAGGGATTGAATCAACGGTTTCTGTGACTGTTGGTCACATACAAGGTCCCACTGGAAGAGAAAGAAATCAGCCCAGAGGAGCTTCACAATATGTTATATCCTTAAATATTTACCCACTCTAATAGCCCTTTAATGAACTACTCTCTGGTTTCCTTTACAACCTTTACTTCTCCATATCATTCCAGTCATAGCTTAGGCATGACTTTCTCAGATCCTCAGCTAAATCTCGTAGGTTATATCAGGGCCAATCTTCATGTTCACTTAGCACTGCATACATCAATGTTTCTGTCTCTTGTTTTGTTGTTCAGCTGCTAAGTCAAGTGTGACTCTTTGTGATCCCATGGACTGCAGCACAGCAGGCTCCTCTGTCTTACACTATCTCCCGGAGTTTGCTCAAATTCATGTCCACTGAGTCAGTGATGCTATCTAACAATTTCATCCCCTGCCACTCCCTTCTACTTTTGAGTTCAATCTTTCCCAGCATCAAGGTCTTTTCCAATGACAGATCTTCTCATCAGGTGGCCAAAGTACTGGAGCTTCAGTTTCAGTATCAGTCCTTCCAATGACTATTCAGGGTTGATTTCCACTAGGATTGACTGGTTTGATTTCCTTGCAGTCCAAGGAACTCCCCAGAGTCTTATTTAGCACCACAATTCAAAAGCATCAATTCTTGGGCACGGCCTTCTTAATGATCCAATGCCCGCATCCATACATGACTACTGAAAAAATCATAGCTTTGACTATATGGACCTTTGTCCGCAAGTGATGTATCTGCTTTTTAACATGTCTTGATTTGTCATAGCTTTCCTTCTAAGGAGCAAGCGTCCTTTAATTTCATGGCTGCAGTCACTGTCTGCAGTGATTTTGGACACACTAAATACATTTTTAAAAAAAAATTTATGATGCCTGGATTTTACATTTAGGGTGAAATGCACTCTGATTTCATTTTTTGACAAGTAGCCAGGACATGGAAATTAAAAAATTAATACACATATTTCCAATTTGCAAGTAAGGCAAGAACATTCTACCAAGGGTAGTTTTCACATATTATATCTTTTCTAACTGTACACCTTCACACAATTTAAAGCTTTGTGATACTAAAATTCATTTCTAGTTTGTTTTTTCACTACACTTAATATTGAAAAATAAAGTGCCTTTTTCATTTCTGGTTTCCTCAGAGTATATGACAAGTAGTGGGATTGCTGAGTCTTATGGTGGTTTTATTCTTAGTGTTTTTTTTTTTTTTTTAAAAGAATCTCTATGCTGTTTTCCATAGTGATTGTATCAGTTTGCATTCCCACCAACAGTATAAGAGGGTTCCCTTTTCTTCACACCCTGGCCAGCATTTATTGTTTGTAGACTTTTTGATTATGGCTATTCTGACTGGGTTGGGAAGATCCCCTGGAGAAGGGAAAAGCTACCCACTCCAGTATTCTGGCCTAGAGAATTCCATGGGCTGTTTAGTCCATGGGATCACAAAGAGTCGGACGCAACTGAGTGACTTTCACTTTCATATTCTGAATGGTATGAGATAATACCTCATTGGGGTTTTTATTTGCATTTCTCTAATAATGAGCAAAGTTGAGCATCTTTTCATGTATTTATTAGCAATCTCTATGTCTTTGGAAAATATCTGTTTAGGTCTTCTGCCCACTTTTTAAAAAAAACTATTTTTTTATTAAAGGGTAATTGTTTTACAGAATTTTGCTGTTTCCTGTTAAACCTCAACATGAATCAGCCATAGGTATACATATATACACTTCCCTTTGAAACCCCCTCCCATCTCCCTCCCCATCCCACCCCTCTAGGTTGATGCAGAGCCCCTGTTTGAATTTCTTTAGCCATACAGCAAATTCCTGTTGGCTATCTATTTTACATTTGGTAATGTAAGTTTCCAAGTTACTCTTTCCATACATTTCACCTTCTCCTCCCCTCTCCCCATGTCCATAAGTCTATTCTCTATGTCTGTTTCTCCATTGTTGTCCTATAAATAAACTCTACAATACCATTTTTCTAGATTCATATATATGCGTTAGAATACGGTATTTATTTATGTTTCTCTTTCTGACTCACTTCACTCTGTATAATAGATTCTAGGTTCATCCACCTCATTAGAACTGACTTAGATTCATTCCTTTTTATGGCTGAGTAATATTCCATTGTGTATGGAATAACTTCTTTATCCATTCATCTGTCGATGGACATCTAGGTTGCTTCCATGTTCTAGCTATTGTAAATAGTGCTGCAATGAACAATGGGATACATATGTCTCTTTCAGTTTTGGTTTCCTCAGGGTATATGCCTAGGAGTAGGGTTGCTGGGTCATATGGTGGTTTCATTCCTAGTTTTTTAAGGAATCTCCACACCATTTTCCATAAAGGCTGTATCAATTTACATTAATACATTACATTACATCACAAATTATTACATTACATTACAGTGCAAAGGCAATCCCTTTTCTCCACACCTCCAGCATTTATTGTTTGTAGACTTTTTGATGAGGGCCATTCTGACTGGTGTGAGATGATATCTTATTGTCATTTTGATTTGCATTTCCCTAATAATAAGTGATGTTGAGCATCTTGTCATGTGTTTGTTTGCCATCTGTATGTCTTCTTTGAATAAATGTCTGCTTAGGTCTTTTTCCCACTCTTTTTTTTTTTTTAATAATTTTTTTTTCCAATGAGTTTAAATGCATTTTACTTTTAGACAACCTACATGACAAGTTTTTCTCAAAAACAATGCCTCTGCTCCAAATAAATCAACGTTCAAAACAAATGAAGAGCTCGAGATGACATCAGTCCCATCTGTCTAAGTCCTGGTGTTGTGTGGATGACCACTCTTTGATTGGGTTGTTTGTTTTTCTGGTATTGAGTGGTTTGAGCTGCTTGTATATTTTGGAAATTAATCCTTTGCCAGTTGTTTCATTTTCTATTATTTCCCCCCATTCTGAGGGTTGTTTTTTCACCTTGCTTATAGTTTCCTTTGCTGTGTAAAAGCTTTTAAGTTTAATCAGATCCCACTTGTTTACTTTTGTTTTTATTTCTTTTTAGGAGGTGGGTCATAGGGAATCTTGCTTTGATTTATGTCATCTAGTGTTCTGCCTATGTTTTCCTCCAAGAGTTTTATAACTTCTGGTCTTACATTTAGCTTTTTAATGCATTTTGAGTTTATCTTTGTGTATGGTGTTAGGAAGTGTTCTAATTTCATTCTTTTACATGTAGCTGTCCAGTTTCCCCAGCACCATTTATTGAAGAGACTGTCTTTGCCCCATTTTATATTCTTGCCTTCTTTTTAAAAAATAAGGTACCCAAAGGTGCATGGGTTTATTGCTTGGGCTTGTTTCTGTGCCAGTACCATACTGTCTTGATGACTGTAGTTTAGTAGTATAATCTGAAGTCAGGAAGATTGGTTCTTCCTGCTCCATTATTCTTTCTCAAGACTGCTGTGGCTATTCAGGGTCTTTTGTGTTTCCATATGAATTGTGAAATTTCTTGTTCTGGTTTTGTGAAAAATGCCATTGCTAATTTGATAGGGATTGCATTGAATCTGTAGATTGCATTTGGTAGTATGATCATTTTCACAATATTGATTCTTCCTACCCAGAACATGGAATATCTCTCTAGCTGTTTATGTCATCTTTGATTCTTTCATTAGTGTCTTATAATTTCTGTATGCAGTTCTTCTGTCTCCTTAGGTAAGTTTATTCCTGGATATTTAATTCTTTTTGTTGCAATGGTGACTGGGATGGATTCCTTAATTTCTCTTTCTGATTTTTCATTGTTAGTATATAGAAATGCAAGTGATTTCTGTGCATTGATTTTGTATCCTGCAACTTTGCTGAATTCACTGATTAACTCTAGTAATTTTCTGTTACTATCTTTAGGGTTTTCTATGTACAGTATCATGTCATCTGCAAACAGTGAGAGTTTTACTTCTTTTCTGACCTGGATTCGTTTTATTTCTTTTTCCTCTCTGATTGCCGTAGCTAGGTCATCCAGAACTATGTTGAATAATAGTGGCAAAAGTGGACACCCTTCTCTTTTTCCTGATCTTAGGGGGAATGCTTTCAGTTTTTCACCATTGAGAATAATGTTTGCTGTAGGTTTATCATATATGGCCTTTACTATGTTGAGGTAGCTTTCTTCTATGCCCATTTTTTGAAGAGTTTTAATCATAAATTGCACAAGAGTACTGGAGTGGGTTGCCATTTCCTTCTCCAAAATTGGTGCTGAATTCTGTCAAAGGCTTTTTCTGCATCTATTGAGATTGTCATATGGCTTTTGTCTTTCAGTTTGTTAATATGGGGTATCCCATTGATTGATTTGCATATATTGAAGAATCCTTGCATTCCTGGAATAAACCCAACTTGATCATGGTGTATGAGCTTTTTGAGGTATTGCTGAATTCTGTTTGCTAAAATTCTGTTGAGGACTTTTGCATCTATGTTCATCAGTGATATTAGCCTGTAGTTTTCTTCTTTTGTGTTGTCTTTGTCTGGTTTTGGTATCAGGGTGATGGTGGGCTCATTGAATGACTTTGAAAGCGTTCCTTCCTCTGCAATTTTTTGAAAGAGTTTTAGAAGGATAGTATTAGCTCTTCTCTAAATGTTAGAATTCTTCTGTGAAGCCATCTGGTCTTGGGCTTTTGTTTTCTGGGAGATTTTTGATCACAGCTTCAATTTCAGTGCTTGTAATTGTTCATAATTTCTGTTTCTTCCTGGTTCAGTCTTGGAAAATCGAACTTGTCTAAGAATCTGTTCATTTCTTATAGGTTATCCATTTTATTGCCATATAGTTGTTCATAATAGTCTCTTACAATCCTTTGTATTTTGGCATTGTCTGTTGCAACCTCTCCTTTTTCATTTCTAATTTTGTTGATTTGATTCTTCTCTGTTTTTTTCTTGATGAGTCTGGCTAAAGGCTTGCAATTTTATCTTCTCAAAGAACTAGCTTTTAGTTTTATAATTCTTTACTATTATTTCCATCATTTCTTTTTCATTTCTTTCTTCTCAGATCTTTGTGATTTCTTTCCTTCTACTAATTTTGGGG